ATCATAAATGTATTAAAATATTAAGTGTCATGAGGTAGTCAGCAGGAAATCGTGGAACTAAATTTCTTTCTAGTTGGTATTTATTAGCAACGCATACCTATAACCATAAGTGAACTAACGGTTAATTGGTTTAGAAGCTGAACTGTCTACCTCATTAAACCGAAAATCATGAGTTCCAATCCCAAGTAAAGAGGGCACGGGTGCGTACATGATGGTTGTGAGATTAATAGCCATTACGATGTATTAAAATTTTTTTTAGATAAATTGTTGAAATATCGAGATAGCAGGAACACGTAGCCCAGATGTTTAAGCAGACCGCCTATTTTTTATGTTATTATCAATCGTTTTTGAACAAATAGCTCTTCATTATTGTTATTTATAAATATTAAATAAGTCTGTCAATTTAATCAAATCACTACTTCAATTGTTTCCCCTTAACGTTCTCACCAGTTATCTTGATTTCTCGTTTGTTCAATAACCATCTGTTTATTCGTAACAATTTCCTTATTTTTATGTATCTTGCAAATTGAGGTTATTAAAATACACTACTTATTAGTAACAGTATATAGATCACTTTCAGTGTGAGGCTGTGGAGATTGTTGAATTTCATTAAAATCATGAACCGATCGATGTCAGACCACCGTTGATAAACTGAGAGCACTGGACGGACGTTTCATCCTGGCATGGGACTCCTCAGCAGTGGACAGCCTTTCAGTACTCCCAGGTTTTCAATGGTGGTCAAACACTGATCAGTTCATGATCTCAGTGGCAAGTGATTTATTTGGATTTTAGATTTTATGAGTGGCTCATAAGTTTGGTTTGAATACTTGAGTGGACCTATCACTGTCTGTACATACAATTATCAACTGGATTAACTTCATTTTATCTTAGTAAGATGGCTCAAAATTTCATCAAATGTTGGGAGTTTCAACCGTTTTTCCAAAAAGAGTCTTACCAGTTACGCGAAAGTGAACGACGTTGCATACTCAGGTAATAGATAACTTTGTGATTATGGAATTCTGTGGTAGTTTTGGAAATGTAATTACTAATCGTATTTAGTGGAACTCATCACGTACGTTGAAAAGCAATGAATATCAATGCATAGTTCTATTTCTTTGCATTAAAGTTTAAGACTTAGAAAACGGGCAATTAAAGCCACTATATATATATATAAGATGTACAAGCCCTATCATATTAATCATGCATAAATTGATTTAGATCTTAGAAAACCACATGGTTAGGAGTGATCAGTGTAGAGCTCAATTAGGTCTTCAGGGAACAAATTTCATGTAGATTGTTCTATGCTTATAAAATGTATGTGTATGTATTACCAGTTCATTAACTTTTGATAATTAAACATCCATTATCATGTACCATTTTGCTATTCCCTTGAACATTTACCATAATTAAAAGGATTAAATAATAAATTATATAAAATGTATTAGAAATTACCCTTAAACATATTTTGATATTGCTTTAACCTAAGCATATTAAAATTAATGAATAAGAAATAAAATTAAATAAAATCTAATTGATAAGCAAAGATGGATAGTGGCTAGAAGTGGAATCCAAGAAGCGCGTTTCGTCCTATTTTGGACTCGTCAGCTGGATGTACCTGCATCTCAGAGTTGATGTTCACTCTGGTACTTGAACCCAGTACCTTTTGCTTCAAACGCCATCGCGTTATTCATTTAGCTACTGAGTCCTGATAGCCACTTGCTTGTGCGATGAATTTAAAATCAAATTGAATTCATCATTTCATATTTTAATAATGAACTGGTGAATCATTCAATGATGATAGTTAGTAGTAGAATCCAAGACCTAAGTTTTGTTCTGTTTATGACTTATCTGTACCTTAGTACTGATATTCACATTGAGACTTGAATTTTATGACTTTTCTTTTGAACATCAACTCTATATCCATTAATATACCGAGTTCAGATTGTATCTGACTTGTTCAACGGTTATAAAAGTGATAGTCAAGGTTGATCAATCCGTTGTTGTTATCCGTTGGTCCATACAATCTGCATTTGTTAACATATGTACATCCACAGTGAAAGGATTGTTTTGATATATAAATATAAATATTTGGATCCAAGTTCATCCAGCTAACAAGTTTCGACGAGGATGAAATACCTATTCTAGATTTTATGACAAGTTTACTCAAAGCTTAACTTCTTTAAAATTACCACTTCCCTTTATCAATGGATTTAACTTACATTTCAGCTTAAAAATTAATCAATTTTATAATACAAACTAACAATTAACTACTAATGGAAGCCTTGTTCTGTAGATTTATCTCAATTTACTATTTTATTCTGAAGATTACAACTTTGAGTATGAAAAGATTGACTTCCTTGTTTAAATGCATTATGTTGGTTTAAAATTCAAATGTTATTGTCCATTACTAAAGAACAAGGGTTAATAAATGAATTCTCATTCATTTATAGTAAACAGCGTTGATATTGACAATATCATTAGAATATACAGTAATGAGATATTTGAAAATCTCACAGTGTCGAGTGCGCCCCCAAATGCCCTGGTACGGCCGAGAGTGGGAAGGGGCCACTCTCCTTCTCAAAATGCTCTCACACGGCCACACGTATACAGCCTTTGCCACAGAAGTCTTACTCACTGCCTTCTGACAGCATTACTGTTGTTTACGAAATTGAGAGAAGGAAAAGCGAATGTCCGGCGCTTTAACCGCGTTGGTGAACACGGAAAGTACAACCAGGGGAGTTTGAAAACCCTGATTCCAAACCAATGGTGTACATGGGCTCCAGTATCCTGAAGGAATAAATGGCTTATGAATCAAGATTGAATTGTTTCGGTTTCTCATGAACGACAATCAACAACGATCACTTAATTTAACAAGTTGATGAAAAATCAAACTGTCAACCAACAAGTAATCAATTGGCAATTAAATGATACTGTGTTTGTGGCCGAATCTGGAGTTCTAGAATTTGATCTCGAATAGGATAAAAAGTGGCAGCTGCCTTAAAGTGTTAAACCAGAATAAAACATTTATCAAGCATCGGCTAATTTTCATCAGTTTCTCATCTATATGTCAGTTTACGATGTAAATTACCATTAATTTTTCAGACGATCATTTAAGTCTCATTAAACAGGACGAAACGACCGTCCAGTGTTTCCAGGTTTTCCACGGTGGTTTAGCTTCAATTGACTCATGATTTCAACTATAAAATTACTAAAATCTCCACAAGACTCCTTCTGATATCAATCAACATATGTTCACTAGTGACTGGCTTCAAGCGATATCTCCTGGAGTTCTAGTGAGAAGGAGTGACCGATGGAGTTCAACCGGGTCTGTTATGAGATAGTAATTCACTGAAGACAATGGTGGACGGTCGCTCAATTTCATGGATTAGGTGAAGTTAGACACTAACACAGTTGGATGCTGGCTCAATGGTCTAGTGGTAAAGTACTCGTGCGCGAGACTGATAGGTCGTGGGTTCGAATCTGGCGAGGTGGGATCGTGGATGAGCACTACTGAGGAGTCCCACAATAGGACGGGTTGGCCATCCAGTGCTTTCAGGCTTTTCTTGGTGGTCTAGCTTCAATTGACTAATGATTTGAAATATAGAATTACTAAAATCTCCACAAAAACCCCTTGTGATCATTAAATCTTGTAAAAAAAAGCTATATCATGGCAATCCACTCAGGTAGTCTATGTATCAGGAGAGACTTATCAACTGCATTTCCGATTATCAACAACGGAGAATTACAATCCATTTTTTCACATTTCCTCCAGGACTAGGACCCAGTGTATTTCATTTCAAACGCCCATGTATAATCTAATTAGCTTCTGAGATCACACAGCCAACAAAATTTAGCAACCAGTATGAACATTAACCTAATATGTAATGTTTTGGATTATCCCGCTGTTGATATTCAAAACTCAATTTCTATCTATCCTAAATTCGATTGTTTAATATAATCCATCTATTCTATATGAGAAGGATGTTTTGTTGAGATTTTAGTAATTTCAATGGTTGAGATCATGAGTCAATTGAAGTTAGACCACCATGGAAAACCTGGAATCACTGGACGGCCAACTCGTCCTATTATGGGACTACCCAGAATTGCGTACCCATGATCCCGCTTCGAGATTCGAACCTAGAACCTATTAGTCTCACGCGCGAGCACTTAACGACTAAATTTGTAAAATGATTGATTATATCAAGGTGTTCCACACATGATTTATATATCCCAACCAAGATTAATCCAAATCTAATGCTGAATATCAACAATTGGATAATCTAAACCATTATAAACGAATCGACCTTTAAAAAAATTCAGTTAGCATTGTTTGTTTGAATCTTGTCATTGATGTTTAGGACTTCGACTGGTCTGGACTCAGTAGCTGAATGGATAACGCGATGGCATTTGAAGCGAAAGGTACTGGGTTCAAGTCCCATAGTGAATATCAACTCTGAGATGCAGGTACATTCAGCTGACGAGTTCTAAATAGGAGGAAACGCGCGTCCTGAATTCCACTACTAGCCACTATCCATCTTTGCTTACAATAGAAAGAAAATTATTTTGTTGACTATATATATTAAAAAGAAAACACAAAACATCTATTGATTCAATAGAAGTTACATTTGACTGGTTAGTGCAGTTATTCTCACCTAAAAAAGAAAAAAAATAAACGAATCAACTTAAAATTAAAATACGCCCCCATAAAACAGGAGTATTTGTATGTGTGTGTGCACCTTAGAAACAAACAATCCATTATTTATTCATAAATATTATTCAACAAAATGATAACTATCATAGAAATAGAATATGGAACCTTAAAACTTAATTGAACCTCATTATTGAATGATCCATATATCAATCTATAAACAAATGATGTTCTAGTACATTATCCAACTAATTCAATACTTCTTCTTTTCTTTCTAACTTGGATTACCTTAACCATCGGATTGATGGATAATTGATCAACTGATTCTCATTAATCTATTCATATTGGAAATATGACTAGTATAGAAATGACCAGTACTATGATTCCTTTAAATAATACTGATCCTATAACAAATATTACATCGAATTCATCTGAATTTGAAACAAATCCATTTATTATAGACTTAACTAAATCTTTTCATGTCATTAATAAACCATTAGCTGTATTTTTATTTATATGTGTATGTATTTCATGTTTATTATTTATTATTATCATTCTGTTATGTGTACGTACTTGTATAAGACGTAAATATGTACCAAAAGTATTACGTAAACGTCCAAAAGGTATATATGTAGATGAAATACCTGGTCTAGTACATAATATTGAACAATATAAATATGGATCATTTGAATATTCATTAGAATATAATATAGATCATAAACAATTAAAAATTGGTATATTACAAGCAAATAATATAATTGGACCAATTAGTTGTGATACATTAGATCCATATAGTACAATTACATTAACTAAATTAGATAATCATAATAATTTACGTATTATTGGTAAACAAGAAAGAACTAATATAATATCTAATACAAATCGTCCAGTATGGAAAAAACTCTTTATATATGATATAGAAGAACAAGATCTTAATTATGTTGTTATTATATTTGAAGTATTTGCTCATGATAATATATGTCAAGATATAAGTATTGGTAAATTAGAAGTACATCTTAAAGATATAAATCATGATGAATATGCTGGGAATATTATAGAAAGAACAGGTTGGTTAACAGCTGGTACCAGTTATAAATTTGGTCTTGGTGAATTATGTATTGGTATTGGTTATTATCCAAATAATAATCTACCTCATATTGATATATGTATCTATGAATGTAGACAATTAAATTTAGATAATTATTTATCTAAATCAAAACAAAATAAATTAGATATATTGATTATATTAAAACAAAAAAAACAAATTTTATATCGACAAAAAACTAATAAACGTAAAGAATTAATTAATCCATATTTTAATCAAAAAATTATTATCCCTTTAAAAAATATTAATGAGCATACTACTCATAATACTACTTATAATAATCCAATTGAAAAATATCATATTATATGTCAATTAAGACATATAAATCGTTTATATATGAAACAAATTATAGGTACTATTCATATTGGATTAGATTCATCACAAACAACTGGTATAAAACAATGGGAAGAAATAATTAAAAATCCATCAAAAATACATGTGATGTGGCATTCTATTATACCATCATAAGTTGGTTATTCTGTTTGTTTTGTTTGTTTTTTTATTGTATTTTCCGCCGCCCACACCACCACCCCTCCCTATTTTCATAATGAATCGAACTAGTTTTTAACTTTATTTAGTAACTATTGAAAGGATATTCAATGATGATGAAAATACACAAGTAACCTTTCTATGATTATGGAAAATCATATGGAAACTACCCTTTATATTTCTTCTATTATTGAAAATTGAATGTTATAATTAATGTATTAACATTATTATTATTTATGTTAAGGAGTTAATATGAATCATGATCTAGTTACTATGAAATAAAGAAAATGATTATTCATCATATTATTTTCTATGAATAGATTTTTTTAACCTATTGCACAAGAAAGTGGCAATCAGAACTCAGTAGCTAAGTGGATAACACCATGACGTTTGAAGCGAAAGATATTGGATTCAAGCCCCAGAGTGAATATCAACTCTGAGATGCAGATGCATTTGGTCTAAGAGTCCTAAATAGGACGAAATGCGCGTCCAAGATTCCACTGCTAGCCACTATCCATCTTTTCTTATAATGCTTGTGAATTAAGGCTATATCGAGGCAATACGCACAGTATAGATATATGCCAATTAGAGACTGACCAGTTGTAGTCCTAAACATCAATGGAAAGATTCAAACAAACAATGTTATGTGAATCATTTGTATAAATAATCTTTTAATAGAAAATTATTTATCACTGAAACATAGAAATATATTTATACGGTCTGGAAGTTAGGCTCTCACATCCGGGACTGAAGATTTCAGCTCCTATCTCTTGTTGGATCGCGGATGAGCATTACCAAGTAGCGTCATATTGTGATGAAATAGCTGTTTAATCCTTCCTAACTCTTAGTGGATATCTGTTAAAAAGTTTATAGAGATCGTTAAATCTGAAGTTTATTAATCATAAAAACTTAATTCAACTGAAGAATTATTGAAAATCTCAACGTGAAATTCATCAATAGTGAAGACCGATAGGTTTACAGGGCTCGAACCCTGAACCTTTAGGTTTCACATCAAAAATTCTACTTTCAGACCATTCCGTTGGAAATTCATTCCACTGAATGCCAATTCAACGGTTCAAAGTTAGCACCCTCGATATGAGGCTATAAAGTAATGTATTCGGTATCTGATTGAGTTGTGAATGTGTACTGTTAAGAAGTTCCATTCCAGGTTAAAACATATGTTCAAAATAACCTGGTTTTCAAAGCTATTTAAATAAATTCAGTTAATGGTATGAATGAGAAAATTATGAATCTCTGTAATAATCTCCATGATTTTGACGCCACAAAAATATACATCAACCATAGTATCCAAAACCAAATCGTGATATTTAGGCTTCGTATAGTGTAAAATATAATTCGAATGCTTCATAGAACACAATGCTTCATACTGATTTATTTTCTTAGGGTGATATTATTCGGTTGACTGGTCAGTTCTGAATGAAACTGCTTGTATTTTAAATCAGTTTTAAGTATAATTTATAAATGTATTATGTTGTTGAACTTTAATGGTATACTTTATTAACTTTGAAACCATATGATAAACTACTACTCACTTCTATACTTTAGAATTCGCTGAATAAGAAGAATACCTAAAAATATAAAAATCTCCATCAGATGATCTAAGGATTCAATAACCATGTGTTCCCTACTGACTTACTGCAAGGTGGGTTCTTCGAATTTCTGTCAGGAAGTTATGATTTGTGGAATTGATTGCGCTTGGAGTTAGATAGTAGCCTATAATAATTGATTGAAGTTATAGTAGATTGACGGAAGTCAAAAAATCAGACTATTGGATTTTGATTCAATCGTCTGGAATTATTTTACTTGCATAAAGACCTATACGTCCCAGACTTGACCCTGTGCTACTGGTGAATGGTCATAAATAGTTCTATATTAGAAGGAGACAACGTTCCAGTGTTTCTGGGTTTGAGATAATCGTTCGGACTAAATCAACTCGAATGAAAAAACTATTTTTAAATTGTACAAACCTTTACCAAGAACCTGAGTAAATGATAAATTTAACCTGTTTGTTAACGTTCTGAGTCCCAGTTTTTTCCAAATCTTATCAACTAATTTTGATCTTTAAAGAGATTGTGTACAATCTTAAAATGGAAGATCGATTGGAGAATACCTTGAATAAACAACTGAACGATTCGTCATTCGTTTAAATACTTAAATATTTTAGATTATCACTTCGTATCTTGGAGTTCAACAGAAGCCAACTGTAGTAAGTTAAAATTTTAACCGAGGAGTTTGATTGTGTTCAATTTTCAATAGTATTATTTTCTGAAGATTCCATATTGTTTTGAAGTGTCCAAGTCTCATTATAAAAGTGTATTGCCTAAACACAGGTAAGCGGATGAAATGTTTATGAGATAGTGCAAACTTACACATGTAATTATTGTCAGCTACTGATACTACATATTACCTCAAAATTATAACTTCATAAAATAACTTTAGTAGCTTAGTGTCAATAGTTACAACTATGATTCTGAACACCACAATTTCAAATCTCTTTCCGTGGAAAGCAATTTGCTAAATAAACATTGTTAATGAATGGCTGTTAATACAAAACATAAACCCAAGAAATCTTATTAGTTGCCAAATAGTGTATAGTATGATCTGGCGAATTTTTCCATGTACTGTTTAAAACTAATCATACGATTCAGTTTTAGCGAACAATGACTTTAATGAATTCGATAAAATTTAGTTGAAGAAATAATGGAATGGATTTATAGTTCCAGTGGAAGCTTCTGAATTCCCACTAACAATTTACAATTGATTGATCATTGAGTAAAGACCAATGTCATGCATGTCAAATACCTCTTTGTACGAATTTAATTCTATTGATCAAGTTATAACTTGACCACCAGTCCAAGTGACTTCACTATCTTCGGATGTAAAGTGATGATTGAAGATATCGACTGAATAAACACATATTGGTTGAAGAAGAACACATAGTGTTGTTTCACAGACAATGTTGAATAAAAGAATTACTGAAAGAAAGAAATAACTGTATAGTCAATACTAGTTAAATAAAAACTATATCAATGAGGTTGGCTTCAAAATTTTTCTTAAATTTACACATTTCATTAATTCTGACGAATAGTGTGCATAGTATATTATAACGTGTTCAGTTCTAAACTCCACCTGTAGCTCTTCTGAAGTTACTGCCAGTCCCAAGCCCGGATAAAGGAGGATGGTTGGGCAAGGGCTTCACTCCTACAATTGAAGAACATTTGGAACTCAAAATAACTTTCAACCGATATCAAAGTCAGAATCTTCAATACGAACGTCGAGATAGTCCTTGTATGGGGCTGAAACGTCAAAAACTACTTCAACCATCATCAAACAAATACAAGTATTTATAAACAGTTGTCTACGCAGCGCATACCCAGTGTTCGTTGACCAAATGTTATCATCGATAGCCTACTGTGGGAGAGAACAAACCGATTTCCAGGTGAAGAGGAAATTAGGAAAAGACGTTGGGTGTGGATAGAACACACGTTGAGGAAATAATCAAACAGCATCACGAAGCAAGCGCTTACTTAGAGTCACGAAGCGAAACGGAAAAGTGGACGATCAAATAACATACCATGTGGGGAAGTGGAAGCAGACATGAAAAGGATAAATAGCAACTATAAACAACTGGAAAAGATTGTCCAGGGCGGAATTGGATGGAGAATGCTGGTGAGCGGCTTATTCTTCTCCATGAGGGATAACAGGTGTAAGTAAGTAAGTACAGGTCTAAATAAAATGTTTTTATATTTCCAAATAGGCTAATTAGTGGTTTGTTCATTTTTACTTTATTAAACTGTTTAAAAATTTTGCGATACGATTGTTCTAACTTCTATTCAGTTAAAATATCTAATATCGAAATTACACAAGCATTCGCTTGATAAGTATATCAATAAACTACATCTCTCTAAACTGATCTGTAGACAACCTCAGAAGATTGTTATTTCGACATGGTGATGGGTCTATTGATTAAATAGATATTACAAACGAAAACCAGTTTATTGGCTCTTAGTATAATCACATTCACAAAATTGGTCATATTTAAGAATATAACATTACTCGTGTAATAACCAATAAAAATATTTTATCCAATGCCAAATAAACACTTGGTTCATGACTTCAACAGTCTCCAAAACCTCATACTGGCAATTATAATGACCTTACTAGTTATTAACTTCGAGGGGAAATTTCCAGAGTTTTATTAAGAAGTCGTCATCAGTGGAGCTAAACTATGTCAAGTATTAGGATGGTTCCTGATGAAGACTAGAGAATAACCGCTCAGCATCGTGGGTTGATTGAGGGTAAACTCGTGAACCACTGGATCCCAGCTCAATAGTTTTGAGGTTGGGTGTTCGCGCAAGGGAGTGAAGCTCTTGAGTTCGAATACCGGTAGGAAGGTTTTGGATGTGTACTGCTGAGGAATCCCACAATAGGACGAGTCCAGTGTTTTCACCGATTGTCTAAATTAGATTAAATTTTAATTTCAATCAAAAACTGAGAATATCTTCATCATAACTTTACTATACTAGTGGTATATTGTAAGTAGCCTTCTCAGATCACAAGTTTAAACCTGAATGTATGGCTAGTTAACGAATCCAGAAAATTAGGTATTTAAATCCATGAATTTGCATGTTAAAATGTCATTCAGTGCACAACTTGAAGTTTGATGGAGTTTTTTTCTACTAATCGAATTTGATAAGTGGTCCAATTCTGTTCCTAGAAAATTGAAGGCAAACTGTACACATAGTTATTCTTTTTTATACATACCGACCTAATCAATTACAAAATGGTGTGACTGTAGTAATCGATTGCTTTCATACAGTATAGACTTTAATCAAGCTATTAGGCATCATTTTCTGTCAATAACAAGGGTATGTGCCATATGTCTCTATTTACCTTATTATTGTTGTTCAAGATTAATAACTTTTAATCACATTTCTGAAGCATACAATTCCGTCCAA